AAGTGCTTTTGTAAGTGTGTTTTTGGGTGTCTGAAACAGATTAATCTAATTTACATTATTCCTGATGAGAAGAAATTCGTTCGGTAACAGCACTTGAACAGCCTTCTGGAACGAAGAAAGTTCAAAACTCGAGGGTCCACTATTATACTGCTTGTTGAGCTAGTACACAAACAGGGGGTAGAATGAAATTAGCTCAGAGGCGTCCACACCACTGTATATCCTTTGATGGCGGGTACAACATCTAGCTTGGCTGGATGTATCATTGTTAAGGATTGTGTGGTCTAGTGGTCTAAAGCGTCATGTGTTTTCGCTCGCCATGAGGCGGGTCAAAGCAGCACGGGTTCGACTCCTTGGCTAGTGAAGTGTTGTTATTGATCAAATTAGTAAATGTAAAAGGAAGAAAAGCTTCATGAAAGAATTTCTTCTTTTTTGGGTTGCCCTGCCTCTGTGGAACCAGCCTGTGTGTTAAAAAAAAAAAAATAATCTGGGATTCTTTAATTCTTGAGCACCTGTTCCTTCAAGTTCACAAGCTCTCACAAGTCGAACCATAAATACAGCAATGACAATTATAGCAGAAAATTATAACTGGGGCTAGTAACCCCTTTGCTTGTATAAATTACTAAATGTAAAAAGAGAGAAACTAGTTTTTCTTTATAGGTCCCCCTGCCTTGGTGGGAGATGGCTGATACATCAAAAATAAAATATAACTGAAGCATAGAAAATTCTAGAGGACTTTTAGATTATTATTATGATCAAAAAGAAGCGCTAAGCCACAAGGGCAGGACTTTTAGAAGCCCACCTTTTATATAACTGAAGAAAAACTTATTCCTGTACTACACTGTATCTATAATGAGTATTACTCCTTTCTGATATATTATTTTTGGGTCTAGGCATAGGCAAGGAAAGATGCACTGTGTTTCTTTTTACTGAAGCGAAACCGTAAAGAAAAAGAAAGTAGGCACACAGGTAAGTGCTTACAATATCACAATTTAATTTTAACTGGTATACAACAACAGTATCAGAATATTGTTTATTGCAAGGATGCACACCTGGCAGCATGTCACACATAGCCATGTGCCATAATTTCATCCCCTTGACCCCTCAAGGAAGGCTCCTTGACGCTGGTGAGGGGCTCTTGATCTAGGGAATTGGATCTGTGCTCCAGTTGGATCTGTGCTCCAGTTCCCTGAATTAAGCCTGAATGCCTTCCATCCCCCCATAGGTGCTGTATAATCCTACGGGTTTAGTGCTTCCCCCTTGATTATAATAATAATAATTCATCCCCTTGATGTTGCAATATCAACCTACCACTAACTTGCAACACTAAATTCCTTCCACTAGCCTTACTTGCTGTATAAACTTTACATTGTAATGTAGATCAATGGTTCTGAGAACAGACAGGATGGAGTTATTAGAGTACCGTGCAACAATTGGGTGTCTGTGGAAATGTTTTGCTAGTCACCTGTCTACAGTACAGAAGGGCCCCACGTATACAACATGTCTTCTTTGGTGTTCTGCATTTTCGTTGGCTTTCAACTGAGCCATTGTTCATTATATTCAGTGCTCTTAATGCTGTTATTGCCATTTTCGTACAATGGTTGTGTAAAGGAAGGGTGAGCGGCACCATATTTTAATGTATCGCTAGAGTACTCGATTCACACACTGAGGTCCGGGCATTGAACCCCCGGTATGGCTGGAAAAGATTAGGCCGTGTTTCCATAAAACACCTGCTGCCCCTGTTCATCCATCAGTAAAATGGGTACCTGGGTGTTAGTGGGCTGGTGTGGGTCGCATCCCGTTGACAAAATTGACTTAGTGATATGTCATTGATGTCAACTATGGTCTGTATACCTTGTACATGTACTTGTAGAAATGAAGATTATTACTTTTATCATTTTTTTTTATGCCTAGCTGTATTGAGCACTTAATACATGATAGCATAAGCACATTATCATGTGTTTTAGATACATTCAATAATAAAAAATTGCTCTCTTCCACCTGCAAGCAGTTTTTGCTTATTGTGTGGAGCTGTGAGCCTTAGAACTGTATGAATGGGGCCTGCCTGTACACAAGTTCCTTCTCCAAACTTCTGCTGTACTCTTATCAAGATAGATCAGGGGTGGGCAAACTTTTCAGTGCAGGGGCCACATTCAGAAATTCACGAGTAACGTGTTAATGGTCCACAGTATTATTTGGCGTTGTGGGTAACTTTTTCTTTCAAATTTGCTAGCATTTTGTCCCTAAATAACGTGAGTATACGATTTGATCTTGGCGGGCCTCGTGAAAACCTTTGGCGGGTCGCATGCGGCCCGTGGGCCGTAGTTTGCCCACCGCTGAGATAGATGGACTGATAACGTCGACTCCAGAGTGAGGGACTGATTACCTCAAACTCCTCCTGATCTTCAGCCTCTCTTCTCTGTACAGGACTGAGGAAGCCACTGACTGGCGAAACATTTCCACAAGATACCCAAGTGTTGCACATGTCTGATTCATCATCTACACTGTAAGCTCACCCTCATAAGTCAATAATATCTGTTGGCTGATAAAGGTTGTGCATCCCTGCTCTATTACAAATCTGTATTGACCATGTAAGTACACATAAATATAATACTGTATAGAATTCCTTATCCTTCCATAAGATACTGTATAGGATTCATTATTATTCCATAAGATTATATAAAACTAAGAATGCCATACCAGCTTGTACTAAGACATTCTGCCCTGTAGGAAAAGCAATGACGGTAAACAATCGTAAGAAAATAACGCAAGATTAGGGAAGGCCTTGATTTTCTTTTTTTTTTTTTGAATGCACACTTAAAGTCTACTACTCGCACTACACTATCACAAAAGTATACAAGGAATGTCACTTCAGTTGATGATTAAGACTCCTGCAACACCTTAGCGACAAAGATACCTAGGTGTTGCACAAGCATCTTATTCATCATCAGTTTTTTTGGCTAATATAAAAAGATTAATACTGTATGTCAGTATCTACAGGATGACCCAAAAGTCTGGACACACAGGAAATCTTGCTAATATTCTAGTTCCTTCCCGCAGTTACCGGAATTACTGCATCGCACTCGTGTGAATCTTGCAAAGCCGTTGAGCTTTGCATCACTAATGATGGACAACATGTTGAAGATATTATTCATTAAAATTACTATAGTTATTACAAAAATGCAATTTCACCCATGTGTCCAGACTTTTGGGTCACCCTGTATTCCTAATATAAAATATACGACAAGGAAGAACAAATTTTAAGGATTACAATTTAGGTGTACGCTACTACCATTACAATTTTTATGATCCTGTTCTGTACATGTATTTCTTAGAAATTACCAGTATAGACCATTTAAAAATATTTTTTTTATACTATGCTTTATAGGATTAAAAATTTTAGCCCCAGTTACTATTCTAGAACATGATCAAAAACTCTGGGTCCTTAAAATTTAACATAAAAATATTTAGTGATGTTCAGTACTGTTTTGTCGTTGTATCTATCAGTCATTCCACAAAGCTCCCTATCTATTTCTCAGGGTATCACTATGGGCATGAGAGGAGCTGGGGTACTGAATATGCCTCTCAAGACAGCAGGACTACCAGACAAATGGAAGACAGCCAATGTATTACACATTAATGCTCAAAGGAACATACTTGAAGTCCTAAAGAATATTACTAAGGTAATGGAACAAATCAATATGAGGCTTAAAATGAACAGTCAGGTGCTAGGGCATAACAGATTACAGTTTTGAGACTGGTGAAAGCTTTCAGCACTTCCCTGTTAGATGACAGAAGGCTGGAGGGCAGATTCCTGCATGTTGCTGATGCACACACCAACAGAAGATGGCAAAGAAGTTACCAGATGTTCTGGACAAACTGCAGAAATGGTCAAAGAAGTGGCTGTTGGAGTTCAACCTTGGTTCAAAGAAACTTATCCACCCCTTCTTTGGATTGTGCATGAATTCCACCCATTAACCAGGTGCTATAGACTTTAAACACTTTCCCGTTGATTAAAATGTGTTAAAAAGCTGGAATTGAGCAAAAGATGGCTAGAGGGAACATTGCATGTGGTAAGGAAACCGCTTCAGGTGAAGTACTGAAGTCCCAGAGGTACACACACACTCGATTCTCCTCTCCTGAGACAGTTTAAAGTAGGATACACAACTGTAAGAGTTACACGGGCCAAAGATACGTGGCTGTGGGAAGATGTGTAAAACGTGAACTCCACTAAGTGTCGTGAAGAAAGCTGAATTTGTTCCTAAACTCACTTTTTGATTTTTGCAACAAGTTCAGTTTTTATCATTATGTGTAAGAGTTTATCTTTTATACTTCTTCCCTTCCCTTCCCTTCCCTTCTCTCTCTCTCTCTCTCTCTCTCTCTCTCTCTCTCTCTCACACTCTCTCTCTCTCTCTCACACTCTCTCCCCCACCCCCCCCACCCTCTCTCTCTCTCACACTCTCTCTCTCTCCACACTCTCTCTCTCTCTCACACTCTCTCTCTCTCACACTTCTCCTCTCTCTCTTCTCACACCTCTCTCTCTCTCACACTCTCTCTCTCACACTCTCTCTCTCTCACACTCTCTCTCTCTCATCACTCTCTCTCTCTCACACATCTCCTCTCTCTCTCACACTCTCTCTCTCTCTCTCACACTCTCTCTCTCTCTCTCTCACACACTCTCTCTCTCTCTCTCACACACTCTTCTCTCTCTCTCTCACACTCTCTCTCTCTCTCTCTCACACTCTCTCTCTCTCTCTCTCACACTCTCTCTCTCTCTCTCACACTCTCTCTCTCTCTCTCTCCACACTCTCTCTCTCTCCTCTCTCACACTCTCTCTCTCTCTCTCATTCACTCTCTCATCTCTCTCTCCTCTCACACTACTCTCTCTCTCTCTCTCCACACTCTCTCTCTCTCTCTCTCCCTCTCTCTCTCTCTCTCACATCCTCTCTCTCTCCACACCTCTCTCTCTCACACTCCTCCTCTCTCTCCCTCTCCACCTCTCTCACTCTCTCTCACACTCTCTCTCACACTCTCTCTCACACTCTCTCTCTCTCTCTCACACTCACACTCACACACACACACACACACACACACACACACACACACACACAGAGTTTGTAAAAAAAATCAGTGTGTGTGATGGTGGAAGAGGTGCAAAAGATGAACTAGGTTACATGTCATGAAGAAAACTGATTGTTACAAAACTCTGTAACAAAAATTAAAATGTGAAGGTGGAGACTTACTAAAAAGTCTTCAGTAACATGGCCCAGGAAACAACACAGCACTGAGCAAAGCATATGGCTGAAGTGGCTAGAAGAAACTGGAGACTTACCACCAGTCTGGTGACAATGCTGAAACTTATGATCTACGAAAATTATTACAATCAAAACTAAGCAGTAAACCCACCAGGTTATAAAGCAATGAGCTATGGAGGAGAAGAAACCAGGCCTCATGGTGGAACAGTGCCTGATCAACCAGGCTGTTACTGCTGGCCACACATAAACCAACATACAAGTCACAGCCCAGCTGGTCAGATACTGACCAATGGTAGTAAGAAATTTCCAAATGATTATTTTGCTTTAGATGTCTTTGTACTGTATCACAAGAGCAAAAGGTCAAGGAGACATGATCATGGTATTAAAGATACACAAGGAAAGACAAGACAAAGGATGGGTAAACACCAGGTATAGATGGAAACTTGGATACCCAAAAGTGTGACAATGACAGAAGTTCTCAGTGTAAGGAAAGTGAACAGAGGAAAGAACAAGGTGACGAGGCAAACTCAATTTGTGGATCAAAAAGGAAATATGATAGTGCCCAAGAAGCTAGGAACCAAGTGTCAGTCAAGATTGAGGCAGGACCAGATGTAACTTAACCTCTACAGGTACTGCTTTAAGAGCTCAAGTGCATATATACGAAGTCTCGCTTGCAACTGTGATTTTTATTAATGTCCCCCATCAAGAATCTATATTATTATAATCAAAACTATGCACTAAATCCATCAGGGTCATACCCAAGAGCCTATATTAGACTGCAAAATACTGTACTAAAACTTCCTAATCCCATTGACAAGCCTTAAGCAGCTTCAGAGAATTCAATGTAATCTCGGTCAAAAGCGAGAGAGAGCGTAGCACTGAGTCTGAGAATCATCATCAGACTCTCGTCAAAATAGGTGCTCCTCACTCTACAAAGGTTCAACTTATGATATTTTGACTTTATGATGGTGCTGTAGCAATGCACGTTCAGTAGTCGTCAAGTGTTTTTCTATATTTAACCAAAATTACCCAAGCCAGTTATGTCTACTAAACACCAAAGTGTGTCTCTTGGCATTCAGTTACAGTATTTATTTATGAAGTATCACATTCGACTTACCATAGTTTCAACTTACGATGAGTTCATTGGAACGTAAGTTGAGGAGCACCTGTAGATACAATCATATATGCGAGTTTTAGCACTGACCCCTCGCACAATCACATGACACTAGAAGACACATAACTAAACTTTGTTCTACCTGGGTGAGAAATGCCTGGCGAAAAAAATCACTCCAAAAAATATTGAGAGGCAACTAAAGTGCTGGGAGCAAGGGGCTAGGTAACCCCCTTTTCCGGTACAACCTTTCATTTTTCTTTTTAGGTCACCCAGCCTCAGTGGGATATGGCCAGTTCATTAAAAAATTAAGTACAAAATCATATATCACAATCAACACATACTGATTACATATTTACCATGAAACTTAAATATTATATCACAAAACTTAAATATAATTGTATTAAAATAAATTAACTCGCTAATAGGTGTACACCATCAAATACATGCAGATGGCATATTACTTAATGTCTTTAGAGTTTCAGGCATGAGCAGCTCTAGAAATTTTATATAGGAGAGGGCTTAGCAGTTGTCACTCTAGTTGGAAGAAGGGGCTAGGGGACTGCCTTTAAAGTACAGCAAGTCCTCGAATAACGTAGTTTTGTTATAACGATGGAAAAAAAATGAATTTGTGCAATGAATGCAAATTATTGTAAAATAAAAATTTGTAAGGTATACAGTAATTATAGAAATGCATGCCAATGAATAATGCGGTACCAAAGTGCTCAGCAAGCCGCCATAGTCATTACTGTTTTTGAACTGCATTTTGGTAGGAGGTGCTCCTTACAATTTTTGCTTTGCAAACATTTATTCCTCGATTTCACCCTGTCACGATGAGTGCTAAAAGTACACTGTACAACCCTGATGTCTGTGGCCACAAAAAAACAGATAAAAAGTGTAACATTAGAAACAAAACTAAGTTTTAAAGAGGTCTGACGATGGACAGCGAGGTCTGGTACGATTGGTTTCGTCACACGTCATTTCACTCGGTCACAGATTCCAAACATTAAGTGAGGACTTAACTGAAGTGATTTTTTTTTTTTTTCAACAAGTTGGTCGTCTCCCACCGAGGCAGGGTGATGTATTGTTATTAATTACATTTAGGGGGCTTGGCCTTTCCTCTCCATGCCAGCCCTGATTTTAGTTATAAATATATTCTGGGATTTAAAAAATATGAAGGTTATCGTTTAACACTAACCCTGAATACTGAGCTGATCACTAAATCTACAAAATACTGCACATCTTGAAACAAAACAAAAGATTATAGCTTATCTTATTCTAAATAAGTTACTGGAAACACATTAATCTAGTGACTTTCTTTTTTAAATATTGTACTAAAACTTAGTCTTCTCTAAACACATAAAGCAATACCCTCTAACACAATATTCACCTTAACGATCTACATCAAGTTTTGGTTGTACCATACAAGGGGGATTAGAACTCTATATTTGTTCAATCGTAACCGCATCATTTTTACCTGGATATACGTATTAATAATACAACTGAAACTAAGCGCTAAACCCACAAGGGTCATTACCTGGGTATAAAAATGATGCTTGCAATGTGTTTTTTCCACGTGTAACACTTGGTCATCATTACGGGAAATGTAGACAATAATATCAAATATTATCAAGTGATACCCTTAAAAATGCATATAAATATATACATGTATGTACAGCAATCAAAATCTACCAGAAACTGGGGATTTCACGTACAGTTTTCACTGTGTAGTACTTGTGAATTTTTGGTAGTGTGCAAAAACAGGTCCTAAGTCACAAGCAAGTTACATGCATTTACACTTACAAATGGAGTACTTAGAAATCAACTGGGTTTACAATTTCAGTCGCAGTAACAACTCACGTGAAACCTAACCATCGATCATTGTTTTCTATACAAACAACGTGTTCATAAGTTAGTTGTGATTATAATAAAGTGGTAAACCCAAAAGAGTCATACAGCACTGCTTCATAAGTTGAAAAAGCAAGTGCAACTTGTTTGCAAGCGAAGACCTGATGTGCAGTACGTGTATACTGGGAGTAAAAAGGCTCTCGGAACTCGTCAGAGGTAAAGGTACATACTCATGAGGTACCTGACAGCTGCAACACTGTACTAGTCTTCAGGCAAAGTCAGTGTAAAAATCTAAAGGCAAGGACATGGCAGATGACAGCGTGTCTTGACTACCACTCGCTTCTTTGTGACCGTCAATGTGGCATCAGAAAAGGTCACTCTGTAGCTTATCTGCTGTTAAACCTCTGCATTGTGTGGCACCAGTCACTGTATGAGTCCAAGGTCAGCTGTGTAGAAGCACCTGACAGTCACTCTCAGAGACTGCCCCTCAATCCGTTAGCTCTGCGGGAGAACATCTCCAACGTCGAGTGCTGCACAGCTGCCCGGACGAATGGAAGTGCTGCAACGACGAGGATGAGGAGAGCGAGACCCGGCCTGTAGACGGCCCAAGCACCGCCCACGATGATCAGTGATGTGGACATGCTCAGCGTGAGGTTCGCTGAGCCTAGACCCAGGGCCACCATGTCTCTCATCAGCGGTGAACACAAAACTGGGGAAAAGAATTTTTTTTTAATATGCTGGTCATCTCCCACTTGAGGCAGGGTGACCTGAAGAAGAAACAATTTCACCATCATTTGCACTATCACTGTCTTGCCAGAGGTGCACAGATATGACAGTGTGGATGTCACTCTAAACAGTAAATGTTTTGTGAAAATGTAGAAATGCTTGAAAATTAAGAACTAAATTTGTATAATGGTAAATACATTATACCATGATGGAAAATGGCTGAGGGGGTAAAAAAAAATTATACAGTACTCAACATTTTTAGGAAAATAATCCAAACACTACACAACATTTTGAGTAATACGTCTCAGTACAGATTCACAACTTTAAATTATTCCAATGTAAAAAAAAAAAAATAAAAAAAAATAACACGGGTATAGGTTCTATCCCCGCCCGTGGTATGGTTTGTTTGCAATCATGTCATTACAATTTCGTGAGTTATTCTGCTGTAATTGTAATATATAGTACAGAGCACTTTCACGTAGGTCACTCGGCACCCATAACCACAAAAAAAAAAAGTCGACTGTGGATATAACAGACTAACAGGAGAGACTGTCCGAGTGTCTGGTAAATAAGGATGTTAAAAATGGCAATAAATAGTAATACATGTACATGTAAAAGCACTGGATGACCCTTGTAGGTTTAGCACTTAGTTTTAATTATAATAATAAGTACTGTAGTGTACACACAATTCAAATATTTACTATAGTAAAGACTGAAAATTGAGGAGTTAAAAGTACAACTTAACCAATTTTGTCCATAATTTAAAAAATCCATTATATCGAGGATTACCCACATCTTCAACACACACACTAAGAACAAGAATAAAATTAAACAAAAGCAATAAACAATGAAGACAAATAAATACTATCATAAGTTTAACTAGTCACCATTAATGTAAAACTCCAGTAATTTATTAATGTTAAGTTTTATATCACAACATAACTGCAAATTCGATACTGGAGTATATTATCATTTCAATTTGTAAGGAAAAACTGACCAGTATAATACTGTACAATAAGTCCTCAACTTGCAAACACAATAAGAATCTTGTGTGTCATGTATAATATCATTATTATTACGTATATTATGCACAGTACAGAAGGTGCCCAATGTATTTGCAAGTTGAAGACTTCCTATATTATGAATACCTTACCTAACTCGGTTACCTAACTTTTATATCAGTATACAATAAGGTATATTAAAATTTACTGCTCCATAACCTGTGTCAATATAGAGTAAGAATTAGTATTAGTCCGCCCGAAATACCTATGCATGCTAGTGGCCTTCTTTGTAATTAATATTTTATAATATGTAAACTACACATTGCAAGCTTTGCAAGGAAATAAATATTTTCATTTTCATTTCATATTATATACAACACAGAAAGTCCCCAATGTGTTTGTAAGACTACCATTTCTCTCTCTTACCTCTGATGTCGTCACTGCTCACTGACGGCTCCACCTTCAACGCAGACTCCCTCTTTGACTTTTTAATAGCAACAGATTTATTATAGTATCAACTTTGATTATGTACTTCCTTTAGCACTCATTACCGCCCTTACTAACTTTACCGCTGTTATACCTTTCACCTTCGCTGATCTCTGATCAAGCATACTATTATACCTTTAGTCAGTGCTGTATGACCCTTATGGGTTTAGTGCTTAGCTATGATTATAATGCAGCATAATTGCAAATTCAATCAAAACAATTGTACACAGGAGAAAGAAGCTTATGTTTCGATCCAACTTGGACCATTTACATGTCACACTAACACTCTCATCTAACATGCTCACATGTGCCTGGTGGATGTCTAAGCCCCTCACACACAAAACCTCATCCTACATTGGTGCTGCTGCTTATGGAAATCCTCTGTTACATGCATCATGGGATAACTTATTACCTTCATATACCTGCAACTGCATTCAAGAGTTTTTCTTCTCTTGAAACCCAACCTGAAGCCATGTTAGATACGAGTGAGTGGAGGCAAGTGATTTTTATGAATTGACGAGCTGTTGGAGCATGAGCATGGTAACACTTATGAAGGGATTCAGGGAAACCGGTTACCAGGACTTAGTCCTGAAGGTGGGAAGTACAGTGCCTGCACTCTGAAGGACGGGTTCCCTCAAGGGAGGTTCCTTGACAATGGTGAGGGGCTCTTGATCTAGGGAATTGAATCTGTGCCCCAGTTCCTTGAATTGAACCTGAATACCTTCTATCCCCCCCAGGCGCTGTACAATCCCTAAGGGTGTACCAGTCCCCCATAATAATGATGATAATGAAGGAGGGGTGGGGATATTTACAGTTTTGAACTGTAGTACGTATTAGCATCCCTCTGGACAGTGATGGTGCAATTTTTTTTTTTAAAGGTCACTCTACCTCATTGGGAGATGGCTGGTGTATTAAAAATAATAACAATAATGCTTCCAGACAAGTCCCCTAACACCCTCTTCCGACTAGATTGCAACCCCCTAAGGCCCCCTATATAAAACTTCCAGAGCAACCTACTGCAACGTAAAGGAACTTGCAACACACAGGTAAGTGTAATGGTGTTAGGATTTTCCTAAGCTGCATGACCTTAGTGGGTTTAGCGCTTGGTAATGATTGTAATAATAATAATGCACTCACCTAAGGAATTGACAATATTGGACACACATGTCAGGCCAATGAACATGAGAAACCAGCCTCCCACGCGCAGACTCCAGGTCAGGAAGCGGTTCTGGGCATGCTCAGTGGAGAACATCTCCTCGACGGTGCGCTTGCCCATGTGAACGATGAGCAGTTCCCTGCCGTTGGTGGTGAGGTATGGGTGAAGTGTCTCCCCGACCTGCTGCCCAACGATGCTCACCTGAAAGTCGTGCAAACTGTTTACAGGAAGGCCAAGCTTATACAGTAGATACAGTAGGTTTGGTTCTGGGCTACTGCTGTACAAAAGGGCCCTGCTTATATAGCAGGTTAGGTTCCAGGCTACTGCTGTACAGGAGAGCCATGTTTATACAGCAGGTCAAGTTTCAGGCTACTGCTGTACAGGAGAACCCTGCTTATACAACAGGTTAGGTTCTGGGCTACTGCTATACAGAAGGGCCCTGCTTATACAGCAGGTTAGGTTCCAGGCTACTGCTGTACAGGAGAGCCCTGCTTATACAGCAGGTTAGATTCCAGGTTACTGCTGTACAGGAGGGCCCCACTTATACAGCTGTTTAGGTTCTGGGCTACTACTGTACAGAAGGGCCCTGCTTATACAGCAAGTTAGGTTCCAGGCTACTGCTGTACAGGAGAGCCCTGCTTATACAGCAGGTTAGGTTCCAGGCTACTGCTGTACAGGAGAGCCCTGCTTATACAGCAGGTTAGGTTCCAGGCTACTGCTGTACAGGAGTGCCCCACTTATACAGCAGGTTAGGTTCCAGGCTACTGCTGTACAGGAGGGGCCTGATTATACAGCAGGTTAGGTTCCAGGCTACTGCTCTACAGGAGTGCCCCACTTATACAGCAGGTTAGGTTCCAGGCTACTGCTGTACAGGAGGGCCCTGATTATACAGCAGGTTAGGTTCCAGGCTACTGCTGTATAGGAGGGCCCCACTTATACAGCAGGTTAGGTTCCAGGCTATTGCTGTATAGGAGGGCCCCACTTATACAGCAGGTTAGGTTCCAGGCTATTGCTATATAGGAGGGCCCCACTTATACAGCAGGTTACATTCCAGGCTATTGCTATATAGGAGGGCCCCACTTACACAGCAGGTTAGGCTCCAGGCTACTGCTGTAAAGTGAATCCTAGCCATTTTTCACTTTCAAATGCATATCAAAGCCTGATAACATTAAGTGAGCAATATAGCCAGGACTCAAAGAAATGCATTTACAGTACACACATTACTTGCCTTTAAATATTTTCATCCCTGGCTTATAGTGAGTGGTGAACATATTTATTACAGGAAATCTAAATACAGTCGACCCTCAGTTTTCGTGTTGAATCCATTCCAGAGCAATTGGCGAAAATGGAAATCGGCGAAAACGAAAACCATTTTTATCTTAAGATATAATGTAAATTCAATTAATCTGTTCCAGACACCCAGATGTATTAACAAAAAAAATTTTTTTTTACCTTAGATAGATTTACATGCACAAAAGAATGAACATTCAACATGACACTTACTTTTATTGATGGCTGTTGTTGATGGATGGAAGACAGGGAGGAGGGGAGAGGGAAGAGGTTATTCTTAGGAAGGGGAATCCTCCATAAGGGCTCTAGGTACCATGTCCTTATCTGGAGTCACTTCCCTCCTTTGTTTTTTAATGCCACTAGGAACAGCTTGAGAGTCACTGGACCCCTGTTGCACAAAATAACTGTCCAGGGTGCTCTGTTTCTGGCATCTCTTTAAGATTTGCCTAAAATGGGACATGGCATTGTCACTGTAAAAGTCACAAGCATGGATTGCAACAGCTTTCTCAGGGTGATGTTCCTCCACAAATGAATGCACAAATCTCCTTTATCTTTGAAGAAGGCACCTTCTTTCATCTCTCTTCCTCCTCCTCTGAAGCAATTTCCTGAGCTGTGGTCTGTTGCTGCTGCAGATGAAGCTCTTTCAGCTCATCAGTGGTTAGCTCTTAATTGTGGTCCCCCACCAACTCTTCCACATCCTTGCCACTCACATCCAACCCCATGGAATTCCCCAATGCCACAACTGATTGCACAACAGGTGTAGGGTCGACAGGGTCAGCCTCAAACCCTTCAAAATCTTTCTTTTGGATACAATCTGGCCACAGTTTTCCCCACGCAGAGTTCATCGTCCTGGAAGTCACTCCCTGCCAAGCCTTATCTATGAGGCTTATGCAGTTGAAGATGTTGAAGTGATTCTTCCAGAACTCTCTTAGGGTGAGTTCAGAGTCCGAGGTTATGTCAAAGCACCTCTGAAACATTGTTTTGGTGTACAGTTTTTTGAAGTTTGCAATGATCTGTTGGTCCGTGGGCTGGACGAGAGGAGTGGTGTTAGGAGGCAAGAACTTCACTGTTACAAAACTGAATTCCTTAGACAATTGGTCTTCCAAGTCTGGAGGATGAGCAGGAGCATTGTCCATTAACAGGAGGCACTGGAGTGGCAATTTATTATCCAGGAGGTATTTCTTCACACTGGGGCCAAACACTTCATTGAACCATTCCAGGAAAATTTCCCTGGTGACCCATGCCCTACTGTTAGTCTTCCACATCACACACAGTTTATTCTTCACAACACTGTTTTTCTTGAACACTCTGGGATTTTCAGAGTGATACACCAGTAAAGGCTTCACTTTGAAATCCCCACTAGCATTACCACACAACAAGAGAGTTATCCTGTCTACTCCTGTGTGATGTAGGTCCTCGGGCATTTTCTTCCAAAACAGGCCTATTTCGTCACAATTGAACACTTGTTGGGGTTGGAATTTTTCAGCCTCTACATAACCTTTGAATTCCAGCACAAATTTTTCAGCTGCTTGTTTGTCTGAACTGGCACTCTCACCATGCTTTACAACACTGTGTGTGCCACTTTGCTTCTTGAATTTTTCAAACCAGCCTTTGCTGGCTTTGGATTCACCTACATCAGCACTTGTTTCAGGCAGTTTCTTTATGAGATCATCATGCAACTGTCTTGCCTTTTCACAAACTATAGACTGCACAACACTATCTCCTGCTAACTCTTTCTCTCTGATCCACACCAACAACAATTTCTCCACTTCTTCAATTGTTTGGGACCTCTGTTTGGTTATCGTATTCACCCCTTCCGCAACATCAGCTTCCATGATTTCTTTTCTCTTTGCCACAATGGAGCTGACTGTTGATGGCAACTTCCCGTACATCCTGCCGAGTTCAGCAATGCATATGCCACTATCGTATTTTGTTTGGATTTCTTTTTTCAGTTTTATGGTGTTCCTCACTTTCTTTACCAAAGCACTGGCATTAGGAGCTTTCTTTGGGGCCATGGTCGCTTATTTAGCGGTCACACATGATAAACAAGTGGCAAAAACAATGGATTATTGCGAAATGTTTCGTATGACCTGGCAGGATATGTTCACTCACCAAGAAACAGTGCTACACTGGCAGAGAATGGTGTAGGAGGCGGCTTTGTCTGCACACTGGGTACTGGACAGGTTCCATACAATTGATGAAAACGGAGGTAATCGACAAAAACGTAAACAAAAAATTGACGAAAAAAGTCGGCCAAAACCGAAATCGGCAATAATGGAGATTGACGAAAACAGAGGGTCCATTATATTTCTTATGGGAAATATTGCTTCGACCTTCAGCTGTTATGAGTTTAGGCCTAGCTCCTGGAACAGATTACGGCCGAAACTTGGGGTTCCACACTATATGCCTATAGTGTCATATACGTAGTTCATATAGGAGTTTTATCATATTAAGGAATATTTTAAGTATTTATGTTCATGGGGGAGGGGGAAAGTACTAAACCCACATGGAGGCCACACAACACCAGAGAATTGTGAAACAATCAGATTCAATTCAAGGTTTGGGAGGGCCGGTTCAAGAGGCCCTCGCCAGCATCAAGGATGCTGGGGAGGGCTGGTTCAATGGCTTGAATCAAGAGCCCCTCACCTGTATCAAGGATACTATGGAATTAACAAAAATCCTAATTTATCTTTCTAATATGGAAAATAACAATTATTATTATTATTACTTTTTGTGGATACATTAAGGCACTGGCCACCTCAACATCTTAAAGTAAATATAATTCAGTTACAATTAATTGATATTTCCAGTGGTGGGCATAGTTCTGCTAACCTCTAATTAGCGGAACTAACTTTCTGTTTGGCAGATTAGCGTTTCCACTACATTCAGAAACTGTTACCAGATCAATTAGCTTCTGCTAAATAATTGGTGGGAAAGCAGTGCCTTTTCAACGGCGCACACGTTTGTTTCTGTCTGTTGTGGGCGTTTTTCCAACAGTCAGTCAGGCATACTATTGGCTGACCACGTGTAAGCATGACTTGTCGACGCAGCAGTATCTGAGCAGCATTGTTATAGTCCTCCATACCCCTCCCCTCAATCAGACAATACCATCTTAGGAGATATATTTCCTATTTTGAAAGTTCTCATTATGCAAGCTGTCATTATTCTGCTATTTCCTGTACGTATTTGTTTTATTGTGATCTCTGACATTATTTTTCCTAATTTTGTACTTGTCTTTTATATTCTAGTAAGTTTATTCAGGTACACATAAATACAGTTACACAGATTATAATACATAGCAACATATGAGTAGAGAACCTGGGATAACAAGTGACTTATTTCCATTGGGGTTCTTTTAATGCCTTATTATTATACTATAAAGAAGATAATATCTTATCATTATACTATAAAGGATATTTTTTTTTTTCAACAAACCGGCTGTATCCCACCGAGGCGGGGTGGCCCAAAAAGAAAAACAAAAGTTTCTATTTTCAAATTTAGTAATACAGTGGACCCCCGCTTAACGATCACCTCCAAATGCGACCAATTATGTAAGTGTATTTATGTAAGTGCGTTTGTACGTGTATGTTTGGGGGTCTGAAATGGACTAACGTACTTCACAATATTCCTTATGGGAAAAAATTCGGTCAGTACTGGCACCTGAACATACTTCTGGAATGAAAAAATATCGTTAACCGGGGGTCCACTGTATATACAGGAGAAAGGGTTACTAGCCCCTTGCTCCCGGCATTTTAGTCACCTCTTACAACATGCATGGCTTACAGAGGAAGAATTCTGTTCCACTTCCCCATGGAGATAAGAGGAAATAAACAGGAACAAGAACTAGAAAGAAAATAGCAGAAAACCCAGAGGGGTGTGTATATATATGCTTGTACATGTATGTGTAGTGTGACCTAAGTGTAAGTAGAAGTAGCAAGACGTACCTGAAATCTTGCATGTGTATGATACAGAAAAAAGGACACCAGCAATCCTACCATCATGTAAAACAATTACAGGCTTTCGTTTTACACTCACTTGGCAGGACGGTAGTACCTCCCTGGGTGGTTGCTGTCTACCAACCTACTACCTAGGTATAAAGGATATATACTAGGAATAAGGTAAAATGAGTTATTTACATGTGTTGGCTAAAAAAATAAAAAAAAATTCTCCTCCCTTTCTGTTGCTACATTCTTGAACTGGTTCATGCTATGACTGGCTTTGACATGTGCAGGCAGTCTGTTCCATTCCTTTATTGCTGTACAATAAAAGGTGTTTGAAGCCTGGCCACTGACTGTGGGTACTACAAAGTTGTGCTCTCTCCCCCTAGTACTATGATTGCTTTGGTTCCCAACCTTGACAAAATTGACAGCAAGATATTCTGGACATTGTTTGTGAGCAATTTTATAAACTTGATTTAACTTCAGTTATTTTAATCTGTCTTCAACATTCAGCATTTCCAATTGTTATAATTCATCCTGACCTACACATTCTCTTGGACCCAGGCCTACATGTTCTCTTGGACCCAGGCCTACAAGTTCTCTTGGGCCCAGGCCTACATGCTCTCTTGGACCCAGGTCCAGGATAAATCTTGCAATTTTGTTCTGGGTGAATTGTACCCTAGCTTGTAGTTTTTTTTGTCAAGGCAGAGTACCATGAAGAGCAAGTGTAATCCATATGACACTGTATAAGGGCTAGACATAGGGTCCTGCGAGCCTCAGTAGGTAGACACTGTGTCTCAGTAGGTAGACACTGTCTCAATAGGTAGATACTGTGCCTCAGTAAGTAGATATTGTGCTTCAGTAGGTAGACACCGTGTCTCAGCAGGTAGATACTGTGCCTCAGTAAGTAGATACTGTGCTTCAGTAGGTAGACAGTGTCTCAGCAGGTAGATACTGTGCCTCAGTAAGTAGATACTGTGCCTCAGTAAGTAGATACTGTGCTTCAGTAGGTAGACACTGTGTCTCAATAGGTAGATATTGTGCCTCAGTAGGTACACAGTGTCTCAGCAGGTAGATACTGTCTCAGCAGGTAGATACTGTGCCTCAGTAAGTAGATACTGTGCTTCAGTAGGTAGACAGTGTCTCAATAGGTAGATATTGTGCCTCAGTAGGTACACAGTGTCTCAGCAGGTAGATACTGTCTCAGCAGGTAGATACTGTGCCTCAGTAAGTAGATACTGTGCTTGTCTCTAGAGGAACTTTAGTCTGGTATTCGCTTTCTTTACTACACTGTTCCCTATCAATCCTACAGAAATGTATGGGTCAAAGTAGATTCCCAGATATTTTACTAAGGAAACTGAAGTGATGGGTTCCCCATTACTCAGGACATTAATATCATTTGTCCTTCTCGGTTTACTTTTTGTGCCAAAGAGTATGGCTTCAGTTTTCCCGAGGTGTAACGATAGTTTACTAACACCATTTGCTGCAGGATTCCAGTTCCAGTGTTAATACATTAGCTATATCTTGTGGGTCTTTACCTGACACTAACAGAGCACTGTCATCTGCATACAGTAGGAGTTTGCACTTGACACTGATGGTCATGTCGTTTAAAAGTAAAAGACTAAAAAACTAAGCCAAATCTGAATTAGTGTGAAAAAGTTAGAGTTTAGCATTAGCTTCTGCTAATTTTTTTAGCAGTTCAGCGTTAGCTGAGCTATGTTTTAGTTAGCAGATTAGTGGACAGAAAAGCTAACTTTTCAGTCAGCTGTGCCCACCACTGAGTATCTCAACAACTTATCTTGCAATCAATACAGTGAATACCTTTATGATGTGACCAGCAAGGGAAGTGTCTTGATGTGGGCAAGGGGTTCTTGATCCAAAGAAACAAACTCGTCTCCCCCTTTCTCAGGTCGATCCTGTAGCACTGTATGACCCTTGTGGGTTTAGCGCTTAGTTATGATCATTATAATTAGGCCAAGCCTGATTACCTCCCACCCCCCAGGCACTGTACAATCCATACAGGTTTAACACTTCCCCTTGATTAAAACGAGAAACGATGCATTTGCCAAGTGTTTTTTATGAGATTTAAGCGATGGTCAATTCAGTTATCAAACATTCTACAAGTTAAACATAGAGTGAGGTCTTACCACTTCGCCGGCCCGTCCAGCAAAGTAGAACTGAATTCTCAAGTCCCCAATGTCAGGATTGTAGATGTCTCGAGTGATGTAGTACATCCCTCCGTGCAGCTTGATGTCATCGCCCTCTGGCTGCTCGTCGCCGGAGAAGGAAATGAATTCAGAAAACATTTCCTTGATGGCCGGACTGAGGTGGTACGTGCCAACCTTGGCATTCTCCGACACCTGTATTACCGAAGGCACCGGGATAGATCTGGAGGTGAAAAGAAAAATGGTTTGAAACATGTTTATTTTTTTTTTTTACACAGGGTTTGGCAAGGTTAAGGATCCCTAGCTTTATTGACAAGATATTTACAAGTTAAGGATTCCTAACTTTACTGACAAGCTATTTACAAGTTAAGGATTCCTAACTTTATTGACAAGCTAAGAGCTGTTACCTACATTAGCTCATTTGAAAGCATTTTTATTATGAAACATACAAGTAGGGAACAGGATGAAGTTGGAGCCATCTGTGGGCCAGCATTTGCATTTGATCAACTGACTTTATCTCGTTGACAATCATAATGCCATACGAATGTGTTCCAGACACAAACCATCCTGGGGATAAATGGTCTCAGATGAAGTGATGTTCTGGAGAAGGGTACAGCCAGAGTTGGCCAGATCACATGGGTGATATTCCACCAAGGTAAGGTGACCTATTACTGCCTCTATTAAAGAAATAAGCAGTCAATTATTTTATGTTAATAGTAAGGATTTTAGGTCTCTTAAACTTGGAATTTGAGAGATGTCGATTAAGATTAAGTCTTCATCTCAGCACGATATAATCTTTGTACAGAGGTGAGTGACATGTAGGTGTGCATGCTCCCCTTAAGGGAAGTTCCTTGACATTGGTGAGGGGCTCTTGATCTAGGGAATTGGATCTGTGCTCCAGTTCCCTGAATTAAGCCTGAATATCTTCCACATTCCCCCCACAAGCGCTGTATAATCCTATGGGTTTAGCGTCTTCCCCCCAATAATAATAATAGGTGTTCATGCAGAAAGCCCCTTAAAATGCAGAGCATTTCGGGACAAGGAAGATTTTTACCACTGGTGTCGGAAAGTCAAGACATCTGCACAACTGGGATAACACTTTAACATGTAGCACTTTTGGGTATGTCTGGGAGCAAGAGGAGGGCTAGTATCCCCTTCTCCTGTATAAATTACTAAATATAAAAACAAAGAAAGCTTTATGAAAGTGTTTCTTCTTTTTCGGGTCCCCCTGCCTTGGTGGCAGACAGCTGGTGTTAAAAAAAAAATGACTTGGCTATATCTATTGTTGAAATGCTTTGCCTGCATAACAGTCTTCTTCGGTAGCCCACACAGGTGTTCCTCAACTTATGATGGGGTTACGTTCCAATGAACCCATCGTAAGTTGAATATATCATAAGTTAAATATGAATACAAGTAAATAAATAACTACTGTCACTAGTCAATGGCTCAAGTCAGACCAAAAACTGTGGGTTGTGTACTGAATAAGTAAATAAATAATTACTATAAATACTAGTATTGAAAAGTAAAATGAATACAAGTTTATCCTGTCAAATGTACAACACTTCACAATACAAAAAAATAATTTTACAGTTTTATCGCACCATCATCAAGTTAGACCATCGTAAAGCAAAGTAGCCTGGCATACAAGCCAAAACATTTTGACAAAGATGCTAAAATGATGTATATGCATCGTATACTCCTCAGCTTGTTGTTGTTGTTGTTGTGTACCATTTACAACATGATACACTGCTTTGATAACTCTGAGAGTTGGTCAACTCACGTGGGGTTGTTGTGTCCCCACGGGATGTTAAATGAAGAACTGTCTATAACCTTATCCCTCCAAGCAAAGGAATAAGAGTACGAAGTATCCGTGGGCATGCCTGGAGTTTCTTCCGAGCGCCTGAAATAAAACAAAACTATCATCAACCTGTCTCTCGAAGAATAAAAGCCACAATACCTTAGCTGGAACAATTCTTAATGAACCCATAAGCTAGATATGAATTTGATGCATATGCAACATCTGAGTATATTTATAGATGTTTTGCCAACCAGGACACAATGTGAAGAATGTAGAGGTATATACAAAAGATGAAGTAATCGGTCCCTCAGTCTTGGTGTTGGTAAAGAGCACCACAGTCTTGAAGACTCTTGAAACACAGTCTTCAAGACTATGGTGCTCTTCACCAACTCCAAGACTGAGGGACTAATTACCTCACCTCATATGTAAATCTATAGTCTTCACATTATGGCCTAGTATTATACTGATAAAAACCACTTGATGGCGAAACGTCTACAAACAGAGATACCCAGATGTTGCACATGTCTAATTCTTCAGATTATCAGTGTTATTTACCATTTATATACAAACTAGAGATAAATACTAGATGACACTTAGCTCCATTGTGGACTGATACAATGTTTGTACAAAGGTAAATGATATTTAGGTGTGCATGCAGAAAGCCCCTTAATATGCGGAGCATTTCAGGCAAACTTAAGGAAAATATACGAGAGTATAGTTATACCAAAGCTCTTATATGGGTGTGAAGCATGGGTGGTGAATGCTGCAACAAGGAAGAGGCTACAGGCAGTGATGTTGTGTCTGAGGGCAATGTGTGGTGTGAATATTATGCAGTCATTTCTCCCTGATAACTGGTTGCGACATTTCCCCGACAACTGGTCGAGTTATTTCCCCGACGACTGGTCGAGTCATTTCCCCGACAACTGGTCGAGTTATTTCCCCAACAACTTGTCGAGTCGTTTCCCCGACAACCAGTAGAGTCATTTCCCCGACAACTGGTCAAGTCATTTCTCCGGACAACTGGTAGAGTCATTTCCCTGACAGTGATCACCACTTGTACTGCAGACGAGTACAAATATGTAGCACATGCATAACAGTACACAGAAGATTGAGCCTCTCCTTTAATACCTCACATTATTACATAATAAACTGCAAGCCACTGCATTTAGACTTACTTCACTTCCTTTAATTAAGTTTAACTGCATTAATCACTATCATCAAGGGTCCATAATATATTTATTACCTTTGGTAATACAGTGGACCCCCGCTTAACGATCACCTCCCAATGCGACCAATTATGTAAGTGTATTTATGTATGTGCATTTGTACGTGTATGTTTGGGGGTCTGAAATGGACTAATCTACTTCACAATATTCCTTATGGGAACAAATTCGGTCAGTACTGGCACCTGAACATATTTCTGGAATGAAAAAATATCGTTAACCGGGGGTCCACTGTACTAATAATGTACACATATATATATACACCCATCTGAGTTTTCATCTATTTTCTCAATAGTTCTTGTTCTTATATATTTCCTTCCATCTCCATGGGGAAGTGGAACAGAATCCTTCCTCCGTAAACCATGCATGCCATATGAGGCGACTAAAATGCCGGGAGCAAGGGGCTAGTAACCCTTTCTCCTGTATACATTTCTAAATGTAACAGAGATGGATGATGTGTTAACCTGTAAACGGTCCAAACGTATATATACATTTTTTCAACATTTGAAAGTACGTAAAAAAAGTAGATCTTCTTTTTTTTTTTTACATTTGAAAATGTGTAAAAAAACTTTGATCTACTTTTTTTTTGTTATATTTGAAAATATGTAAAAAAAACGTAGATCTACTTTTGGAGCACTACACATGTGAACGTAGATCTGCCTGGACCGTTTACGGGTTAAAAGTAATAATAATAACTGAAAAATGGGGGTGGATATTTGTAGTTTTGAACTGCAATATTGGCACCCCTCTAGCAAGAGTAATGGAGTGAATGATGGTGAAAGTTTCTTCTTTTTTAAGGGTCACCTGCCTAGGTGGGAGACAACTACTGTGTTAAAAAAAAAATTACACGGCAAAACAGTAGTCAGCTAAGTAAATGGCATTAACAGTGAGAACATTTTACAAATACACAAAATACGGAAGATTGCGATATACGTACAGTAAGACCTCGACTTACACACTGAGGACCTGAATTGTGTATAATATTCATAATACAAAAGTTTTCAAATTGCAAACATGTTGGGGACCTTCTGTATAGTTGTAGCTACACTGAGAGTAAAAGGTAGATGGGATACAAGGAGAATAGAAGCATCAGGGAAGAGAGAGGTGAAGGTTTATAAACTAAAAGAGGAGGCAGTTAGGGTAAGATATAAACAGCTATTGGAGGATAGATGGGCTAATGAGAGCATAGGCAATGGGATCGAAGAGGTATGGGGTAGGTTTAAAAATGTAGTGTTAGAGTGTTCAGCAGAAGTTTGTGGTTAAAGGAAAGTGGATGCGGGAGGGAAGAGGAGAGATTGGTGGAATGATGATGTAAAGAGAGTAGTAAGGGAGAAAAAGTTAGCATATGAGAAGTTTTTTACAAAGTAGAAGTGATGCAAGGAGGGAGAAAATATGGAGAAAAAGAGAGAGGTTAAGAGAGTGGTGAAGCAATGTAAAAAGAGAGCAAATGAGAGAGTGGGTGAGATGTTATCAACAAATTTTGTTGAAAATAAGAAAAAGTTTTGGAGTGAGATTAACAAGTTAAGAAAGCCTAGAGAACAAATGGATTTCTCAGTTAAAAATAGGAGAGGAGAGTTATTAAATGGAGAGTTAGAGGTATTGGGAAGATGGAGGGAATATTTTGAGGAATTGTTAAATGTTGATGAAGATAGGGAAGCTGTGATTTCGTGTATAGGACAAGGAGGAATAACATCTTGTAGGAGTGAGGAAGAGCCAGTTGTGAGTGTGGGGGGAAGTTCGTGAGGCAGTAGGTAAAATGAAAGGGGGTAAGGCAGCCGGGATTGATGGGATAAAGATAGAAATGTTAAAAGCAGGTGGGGATATAGTTTTGGAGTGGTTGGTGCAATTATTTAATAAATGTATGGAAGAGGGTAAGGTACCTAGGGATTGGCAGAGAGCATGCATAGTTCCTTTGGATAAAGGCAAAGGGAATAAAAGAGAGTGCAAAAATTATAGGGGGATAAGTCTGCTGAGTATACCTGGCAAAGTGTATGGTAGAGTTATTATTGAAAGAATTAAGAGTAAGAGGGAGAATAGGATAGCAGATGAACAAGGAGGCTTTAGGAAAGGTAGGGGGTGTGTGGACCAGGTGTTTACAGTGAAACATATAACTGAACAGTATTTAGATAAGGCTAAAGAGGTCTTTGTGGCATTTATGGATTTGGAAAAGGCGTATGACAGGGTGGATAGGGGAGCAATGTGGCAGATGTTGCAAGTGTATGGTGTAGGAGGTAGGTTACTGAAAGCAGTGAAGAGTTTTTACGAGGATAGTGAGGCTCAAGTTAGAGTATGTAGGAAAGAGGGAAATTTTTTCCCAGTAAAAGTAGGCCTTAGACAAGGATGTGTGATGTCACCATGGTTGTTTAATATATTTATAGATGGGGTTGTAAGAGAAGTAAATGCGAGGGTCTTGGCAAGAGGCGTGGAGTTAAAAGATAAAGAATCACACACAAAGTGGGAGTTGTCACAGGTGCTCTTTGCTGATGACACTGTGCTCTTGGGAGATTCTGAAGAGAAGTTGCAGAGATTGGTGGATGAATTTGGTAGGGTGTGCAAAAGAAGAAAATTAAAGGTGAATACAGGAAAGAGTAAGGTTATGAGGATAACAAAAATATTAGGTGATGAAAGATTGAATATCAGATTGGAGGGAGAGAGTATGGAGGAGGTGAATGTATTCAGATATTTGGGAGTGGACGTGTCAGCGGATGGGTCTATGAAAGATGAGGTGAATCATAGAATTGATGAGGGGAAAAGAGTGAGTGGTGCACTTAGGAGTATGTGGAGACAAAGAACTTTGTCCTTGGAGGCAAAGAGGGGAATGTATGAGAGTATAGTTTTACCAATGCTCTTATATGGGTGTGAGGCATGGGTGATGAATGTTGCAGCGAGGAAAAGGCTGGAGGCAGTGGAGATGTCATGTCTGAGGGCAATGTGTGGTGTGAATATAATGCAGAGAATTCGTAGTTTGGAAGTTAGGAGGAGGTGCGGGATTACCAAAACTATTGTCCAGAGGGCTGAGGAAGGGTTGTTAAGGTGGTTCGGACATGTAGAGAGAATGGAGCAAAACAGAATGACTTCAAGAGTGTATCAGTCTGTAGTGGAAGGAAGGCGGGGTAGGGGTCGGCCTAGGAAAGGTTGGAGAGAGGGGGTAAAGGAGGTTTTGTGTGCGAGGGGCTTGGACCTCCAGCAGGCATGCGTGAGCGTGTTTGATAGGAGTGAATGGAGACAAATGGTTTTTAATACTTGACGTGCTGTTGGAGTGTGAGCAAAGTAACATTTATGAAGGGGTTCAGGGAAACTGGCAGGCCGGACTTGAGTCCTGGAGATGGGAAGTACAGTGCCTGCACTCTGAAGGAGGGGTGTTAATGTTGCAGTTTAAAAACTGTAGTGTAAAGCACCCTTCTGGCAAGACAGTGATGGAGTGAATGATGGTGAAAGTTTTTCTTTTTCGGGCCACCCTGCCTTGGTGGGAATCGGCCAGTGTGATAATAAAAAAAATAAAATAATGATGTTATAGACAATACAGAAAATTCTGAATGCGTTTGTAAGTCTCGGACTTACTGTACGAGAAAATAACCATGGCAAACTCAAATAGAAAGTTATTAAGTTCAAAGCAAACACAGGAAGTATTCTAAATAAATCTCTCCATAACAAACTCCATTCTATTAAACCGAATGTAGGTTTCTGGCCGTCTTCTTATGAATGCCAAGGTTGGGAAACTACTCTCTCCCGTCTTCGCATTGGCCACACACTTCCCACTCACGGGTATCTCATGGAGAGGCGCCTTGTTCCTTTCTGTGAGAACTGTCAAGTTCCAGTATCTGTTAGCCACATTCTGTTGGGCTGTCCACTCTATCAATGCGCACACAGAATTTACCTCCAACATCGTCTCCAGTCTGCTGCCCTTTCTTTACCTTCTATACTTGCTGATGGACCCTCCTTTAATCCAAACTCTCTCAATGACTTTTTGACAGCATCTGATTTACTACACAAACTCTGATGATGATGCCTCTAGCACCCTCCTCCATCTTTTCTACCTTAACCCTTAAACTGTCCAAACATAGATCTATGTTTGCGTGCGTAGTGCTCCGACCTCGATTTTCTCCAAAGGAAGAATGTAAAAAAAAACGTAGATCTACATTCGGAGCGCTACGCAGCGAACGTAGATCTGCGTTTGGACAGTTTAAGGGTTAATCTCTAGCTACCCTCTACCCCTGCACTATCCATTGCCCAGCTGCACTCCATACTCTAATAATCATCCCTCTCCCTCTTGCCACCCATTTCCCCTGCATTCTTCCCTGTCCTGCTGTGTTGTATAACCCTTGCGGTTTAGTGTTTCAGTTTTTATTATAATAATCTAAATAAATCTTGCATCTTGTGAATATTCGGAAGCATGAGGACACCACTGTATCGAGAAGGTAAAATATTGTGCAAAGAGTATTGTGAACCAGTGTCACTGTACAAGATACACAAGATTCTCAACATATTCGTAAGTCGAGGACTTACTGTAATAAGTACAGCACTGTACTGTCTTAGCCAATCTACTAGTTTTTATTTTTTTTATTATCACACTGGCTGATTCCCACCAAGGCAGGGTGGCCCGAAAAAGAAAAACTTTCACCATCATTCACTCCATCACTGTCTTGCCAGAAGGGTGCTTTACACTACAGTTTTTAAACTGCAACATTAACACCCCTCCTTCAGAGTGCAGGCACTGTACTTCCCATCTCTAGGACTCAAGTCCGGCCTGCCGGTTTCCCTGAACCCCTTCATAAATGTTACTTTGCTCACACTCCAACAGCACGTCAAGTATTAAAAACCATTTGTCTCCATTCACTCCTATCAAACACGCTCATGCATGCCTGCTGGAAGTCCAAGCCCCTTGCACACAAAATCTCCTTTACCCCCTCCCTCCAACCTTTCCTAGGCCGACCCCTACCCCGCCTTCCTTCCACTACAGACTGATACACTCTTGAAGTCATTCTGTTTTGCTCCATTCTCTCTACATGTCCGAACCACCTCAACAACCCTTCCTCAGCCCTCTGGACAACAGTTTTGGTAATCCCGCACCTCCTCCTAACTTCCAAACTACAAATTCTCTGTATTATATTCACACCACACATTGCCCTCAGACATGACAACTCCACTGCCTCCAGCCTTCTCCTCACTGCAACATTCATCACCCATGCTTCACACCCATATAAGAGCATTGGTAAAACTATAATCTCATACATTCCCCTCTTTGCCTCCAAGGACAAAGTTCTTTGTCTCCACAGACTCCTAAGTGCACCACTCACCCTTTTCCCCTCATCAATTCTATGATTCACCTCATCTTTCATAGACCCATCCGCTGACACGTCCACTCCCAAATATCTGAATACATTCACCTCCTCCATACTCTCTCCCTCCAATCTGATATCCAATCTTTCATCACCTAATCTTTTTGTTATCCTCATAACCTTACTCTTTCCTGTATTCACTTTTAATTTTCTTCTTTTGCATACCCTACCAAATTAATCCACCAATCTCTGCAACTTCTCTTCAGAATCTACCAAGAGCACAGTGTCATCAGTAAAGAGCAACTGTGACAACTCCCACTTTGTGTGTGATTCTTTATCTTTTAACTCCACGCCTCTTGCCAAGACCCTCACATTTACTTCTCTTACAACCCCATCTATAAATATATTAAACAACCACGGTGACATCGCACATCCTTGTCTAAGGCCTACTTTTACTGGGAAATAATTTCCCTCTTTCCTACATACTCTAACTTGAGCCTCACTATCCTCGTAAAAACTCTTCACTGCTTTCAGTAACCTACCTCCTATACCATACACCTGCAACATCTTCCACATTGCCCCCCTATCCACCCTGTCATATGCCTTTTCCAAATCAATAAATGCCACAAAGACACCTTTAGCCTTATCTAAATACTGTTCACTTATATGTTTCACTGTAAACACCTGGTCCACACACCCCCTACCTTTCCTAAAGCCTCCTTGTTCATCTGCTATCCTATTCTCCGTCTTACTCTTAATTCTTTCAATAATAACTCTACCATACACTTTACCAGGTATACTCAGCAGACTTATCCCCCTATAATTTTTGCACTCTCTTTTATCCCCTTTGCCTTTATACAAAGGAACTATGCATGCTCTCTGCCAATCCCTAGGTACCTTACCCTCTTCCATACATTTATTAAATAATTTCACCAACAACTCCAAAACTATATCCCCACCTGCTTTTAACATTTCTATCTTTATCCCATCAATCCCGGCTGCCTTACCCCCTTTCATTTTACCTACTGCCTCACGAACTTCCCCCACACTCACAACTGGCTCTTCCTCACTCCTACAAGATGTTATTCCTCCTTGCCCTATACACGAAATCACAGCTTCCATATCTTCATCAACATTTAACAATTCCTCAAAATATTCCCTCCATCTTCCCAATACCTCTAACTCTCCATTTAATAACTCTCCTCTCCTATTTTTAACTGACAAATCCATTTGTTCTCTAGGCTTTCTTAACTTGTTAATCTCACTCCAAAACTTTTTCTTATTTTCAACAAAATTTGTTGATAACATCTACTACACTGTATATAAAATTTTTACTAAAAATATATATAAAAAATCTAAAAAATATACACAATATCAATCAATATGAAGTGTAACAAGAATACTTCTAAGGAAACAATGTGTTTGTGTAAAACTTCTGAACAGAATGAAAGTTAAAAGAAAAAAGGAAAAACAGTCAGCTCAAAGTAGAGGGAATGAAATGTGGTAACACCTTCTAAACAGACTTAAAATTCTTTCAAAAGAAAAAATCAATCACTTCAAAGTGGAAAGAATGAAATGTGATAAACCCCTCTGAATGGAATGAAATAAAATGCAATACACATTCTTTCAAAGAAGTGCAAAAGCAATCTAAGAAGTAACACACATCAGTGACAAAGTCCAGAGGTAAGGCAGTCTTGGGACACTGCAATAATAATAAGCCAAGAACCTCACATGGAAGACTCCTCCTCAATCCACTGGTACATCTGGACACGGCGCTTCAGTCGCACGGCATTGATCTCCACGCCATAAGTGTCGTCTGTCAGCACTGGGAACGTCGACAAAGTCCCCCACACGTGAACCAGCTGAAAGATCACCAATGCTAATACAAAAAGAACTCAAAAGATTCTGAATCCAAGAATAAAAAGGTACAATACCACAACTGGAACAGTACACAAATAACCCGCATGCAGTACAAATCTCATGACGGCACTATAGTAGAACCTCGGTATATGACCAGCTCCCTACTCAAACGGAGCTCAGCACTCTACCAAACAAATAACCTGCCAGAACTTCGCTGTAAACTATTTCGTGCTTCTTCGTATTTTTTGGTGTTTTTTTGTATTACAGTACGTATTTGTATAAATAAGTCACCATGGGGCCTAGGGAGATTAGTGATAACACCCAACCAAAGAGAAAATTGGTTGGGAAGAATTTGTTCGATACTCGAGCAGAGCGGCACTCGAACAGTCTTCTGGAATGAATTAAGGTCACATACCGTGGTTCCACTGTATATTCTCCTATGTGCTGGTTATTTGTGTGTTGTTCCATAAGGAGAAATTGATCTTTGTTAAAGAAAATTACAGAATAATTAGGGGTGATGTGGATGTTTAACGGAGTTTGGCACAAAGTGGATCACATAAACAAGAAAATGATAGATGCTTGTAGATCAGTTAGAAAGTATACAGTACTGTATAAGGCATAAAGGTAATGTACATGGGTGTGGGGAGTAAAAAGAAATCAGTTTATAGAAAAGACTAAATCTGTTACAAACTTTCTAATCGTTCCTCTGATAACAGAACCATAGCCTGGTCCCAGACCTGTCCTAACAATTCCACTGATAATCACTCCATGGCCTGGTCCCAGACTCATCCTCCTCATTTGGAAAGGATGTAAAATTTTTTTTTAATCATATGCTGTATGTTCATGAGACAGACAAGACTAACAATCTTGTCAGAGTGCAAAACATTTAGCAGGCTTCTGCTTCACACTCATATGACACAAAGGTTGCACCTCCCTAGTTTGTGAGGAATGCATCTCTGTATCATATATATTCAACATAGAGTGGGGAGGGCGTACGGTATAGCCAATCGTCTGAAACTTCCAAAGTGCGACATTAATTTTTCATGATCGTCCAGTTGTCTTCCAGACCAGTGGACTTGGTCCAGAAGACAATCAAACACTAAGAATGCAGTTCTTAGTGTCTGATTGTAGTTCTTCAGTGCAAAAAGTTATTCAGGTACAGGTATGTATAAGTACAGCTGGGTTTGAGTATGTATAGGGAGCATAATGAAGTGAAGGGTCAGCTAATCGAGGAATGCTGAGAAGAGGTTGGATATGAGAAGGACCTGCTCAGAATGGGCAAGAAGGTTTGTTGCTATGTAGGATAACAATGAAGTTTCCTAGCATGTCATGGTCACATATATTTTTCAATTCAAGATTGTCATGTGTTAGTGATTAAATGCAGTTGGATGATCCAACACTTTTCCTGAAGGGCCTGTCACATGTGGCTTCAATTATTCAGGAGCTTTTTCGCAATTAATGACTTGATGCCCGATTCCTAAACTTAAAACAAACAGGAGAGTTTTATTTAAAAATATTTTAACAGGTTCCTCCAAGTCCAAAGATTTTTTTAGGTAAGCCTTTCTCATGAATGCCAATCTGCACATCTGTGGATTTTCATATCTCATTTTTTTTATAGCGTAGCATGGCACCTTGATTCATTCCTTTCAGACAACAGACTGGGTGAAAAGCTGATATGAAGATCACCAACAGGACACCCTGATTGCTTCAATGTTGGCATTCTGAAGCACTGTACAGGTGCTCCTTGACTTACGATGGGGTTACGTTCCAACGAACCCGTCATAAGTTGAAAATATTTTAAGTCAAATATGAATGCATATTCTTCTTTCTTTCAACAAACCAGTCATATACCACAAAGGCAGGGTGACCCAAAAAGAAAAAATGGAAGTTTCTCTTTTTAATTTTAGTAATAGATAAAGGAGAAGGGGTTACTAGCCTCTTGCTCCTATGAATATATATATGATATACAATGGTACCCAGAGTTTCGGCCACCTCCCAACTTGAACAATTATGTAAGTGTATTATTGTAAGTTCTTTTGTAAATGTATTTTTGGGGGTCTGAAATGGATTAATCTAATTTTCATTACTCATGGGAACAAATTCGTTCGGTAACGGCACTCGAACAGCCTTCTGGAATGAATTATGGCCGAAGTTTGGGGTTCCACTGTATAAATAACTACTCTCACTGAATAAGTAAATAAATAATTACTGTAACTAAATACCAGTACTGAAAAGTAAATAAATGAATACAAGTTTATCCTATCAAAGTTTGATGATTACTGAATGTGCATCGCTATCGCACATCGTAAATTCGAAACATCACAAGTTGAACCATTGTAAAGCAAGGAACATCTGTAACAGACCTACTGATTTATGCCAGCCTGGTTCCCTACCCCACTGCCTCACATCTGTACTGGTCTAGCCTCTCTGAGCCTTACCTCTACCAAAGAATAAACTCTGCCTCTGGTTATCGCTGTAGGATGGAAGAAGCCATTTATGCTGAAACATTTTCTCATAAAAATATCCTAATACTGTACAGATGTCTTATTTTACACTCATATTTCAGCTTCCATGGGGAAGTGGAGAAGAATCTTTTCTCTGTAAGCCAATCATGTCACAAGAGGCAACTAAAATGCCTGGAGCAAGGGGCTAGTTACCCCATCTGAATAAATTACTAAATATAAAAAGAAAAGCTTCTGCTTCTTTTTTGGGCCACACTGTCTCGGTGGGAGACAGCCTGTGTTTAAAAAAAAATAAGAATCAACTGTACCTTATGATTATTTTCCTCGTGTATGACGTTAGCACTTGCAACACGTATGACAGCGTTGTAGCCCTCATCTAAGCTCCGAGAAGTCTGAACAGCTCGACCCTGTGAAACAAACGAGTCTCAAGGAAAGCTCTCTATGTGGCTGGAAATCTGTAAGCCAGGGATTCAGGGAAACCAACAGGCTGGATTTGAGTCCTGTAGGTGGGAAGTACAGTGCCTGCACTCTGAAGGAGGGGTGTTGATAAGTTGCGGTTTTATAACTGGAGCATAGGCACGCCTCTGGCAAGACAGTGACAGAGTGAATGAGAGTGAAAATGTGTGTTTTTTTGGGGTCACCCTGCCTTGGTGTGGAAACAGCAGATGTGTTAATAAATATAAAATACTGATTTCCAACTAAAGTGAGGATGTTTGTTATTCTGAGGGGTCATCTGAACTGTGAAATCAGCACATTTCTGGCAAGACCCTGTTTTGGTGGGAGACTGTAGGTGTTAAAAAAACTACAATTTATTGAGGTAGGGTGACCTGAAAAAGAAATGCTTTCATCATCATTTACACTATTGCTGTCTTGCCAGATACAACAGTTTAGATATCCCTCTAACCAGCATGTATCTTAAACCCCTCCTTTAGACTGCAGGCACTGTATTTCCCATCTCCATTTATTATCTTTGTATTTAGGGGGAAGTGTTTAACCCATAGGGGTTTTATAGCACTGAAAATACATATACTGTGATTTCATTATTATATCACCTTACCCTGTTAAGAGAAGCCTGGTTAGTGCATGACTTCCCTGACATATACTCAACATAGCCAGGCACACAGCTCTACTACTGCTATCTTGCATACGATATCTCATTCTATGTATACCTATGACACATCTGCAACTCGTTTTGGGTGTTATTCCACCCTAGCAGCCCAGCCTAAGGCTCAATAACATGCAGGTAGCATGACTATATCATTACAAACATTACAAGATGATTTTCTAGACTTGTATTACTCCTAGTAACTGTCTCATGGAAATATTTTTCACCACTACAAGTAAATACTGTATCCTATAACATATCCTATTTATTATTATGATTATTATTATTATTAGGTAAGTGTGGACCACTCAGTGGTGCACCATTAGGGTATGTGACCCACAATAGTCAACTAACCCAAGGCACTTACTGCTAGGTGAACAGAGGCAACAGATGCAAGGAGACTTACACCCAGGTACTCACTGATAGGCAAACAGGGGCAGCAGGTGTACAAAGACTAATACCCAGGTACTTACTGCTAGGTGAAAAGAGGCAACAGGTGTACAGACTAATACCCAGGTACTTACTGCTAGGTGAACAGAGGCAACAGGTGTAAGGAGACTAATACCTATGAGCTTACTGCTAGATGAACAGGGGCAGCAGGTGTAAGTAGACTAACACCTAGGTACATACTTACTGCTGGGTGACTCATTGCTAGGTGAACATGGACAGCAGGTGTAAGGAGACTAACACCCAGGTGTAGTCACAAAGAATCAAGACTTGAAGTACATTATGTACAAATCAGACTGCAAGAATCCCAATAAATTGGGCCTCGGGAATCAAAGTCCAGTTGCTTTTTGTTTGTCATTCCATAATATGTATAAACAAGCAGAATAACAAACGCACAATCAGGCGCCTGCCACTGTCCGAGATGCACCTCGTTCCAGAAGAGTAGACCGCTGCCCATCAACAGTAGTCCAACGCCCACCACAACTGCCGGTATAGACTCTCGCATCTGCTCGTGCACCGGCCGCCTGGTGTAGTGTGTAGAGTGGCCGCCTGACCCTCGACTACCATCAGCATCGGAGTTCTGTGAGAGTGACCAGTAATGGTAGCACTTGTGATATTTATGAAGCACTTTGACTGCACTGGTTACTCAGTGCTCACAGTTATAAAATAATTATATATGTATATATGGCTGGTTCATTGAAAATATATAATTTTTTTTTTAATGAACCAGCCATATCCCACCTAGGCAGGGTGACCTAAAAGGAAAAACTAAAGTTTTTCTTTTTAAATTTACTAATTTATATAGAATATGCAAAACAACCACTGTGAAAGAATAGTGAAATTCCAAGCACTTTCATGATTTCTCACATTATCAAGGAGCTATAAAGACAATACATCAAAGGAAGGCATATAAAGGGTCTAGACTACACCTCACCATCATATCCCATAACAGAGCAACACCTCAGAAACGCGTGACGACACCCAACTCTGTGAAACCCACCTAATACTCTACCCAAGAATTAAGATTTATTACTTGTTTAATGTATCATTAAATTCTTCCCAAATTTTATTAATTATAAATGAATCCAATTTCTATTATATTCAAAACTGCTTTTTATGAAACATGATTCAATTACAGTACATTCCTGTCGACCATGGACTTGCTTGATACAACTTTCTCAACTTTTTGAAAATCAATTGGATGGTTAAAATCTCTCACATGAATAAATAGAGCATTGGAATCTTGTCCAGTTCTAATGCTATATTTATGTTGTTTTAATCATAGTTCGAGACTTTTACCAGTTTGACCATAATAAACTTTATCACAAATTTTACAAGGAATCTTATAGACACATCCATCAGAAATTTGGGGGGAATTCTTTATCAAGTTTTTTTTACTGTATCAAGATTTTTAAATACAACTTTGATATTAAAAGTCTTAAGAAGAGAAGGCATATCAACCAAGTTTTCATGGTAAGGGAGAACCAACATATTTTTAGTTAAATAAAGTTGGTTGTCCCTTTTTGGATTGTAAAAAGTATTTCTAGCAGTTTTAAAAGATTTATCAATTACGTTTCTTGGGTATTTCAAATCATTAGCTATTTAATAAATTTTGGATATTTCTTCATCTATGAACCCTGGACTACAAATACGTAAAACTCTCAAAAAGACTGATGAGAAAACTGACAGTTTAACTCTATCCTGAGGTGAAGAATAATAGTGGACATAGGAACAGTTATTTGTTGGTTTTCTGTAAATTTTAAATTTAAAATCATTGTTACCCTTAATAATTAAAACATCTAGAAAAGGCAATGAGTTATTTGCTTCAAACTCAACAGTAAAGTTTATAGAATGGGCTAAGCTATTTAATTTAACAAGGAAATGGTTTATATCTACATTCTTAGGCATAAAACACAAAATATCATCAACATATCTGAACCACTTAGCCTTATTAGGGAGGACTGTGGTAAGCAATCTTGTTTCAAAAAATTCCATGTATAGATTACTTAGAACAGGTGAAAGAGGATTTCCCATTGCCATACCAAACTTCTGAGTACATAAAATCTTATCATTAAATACAAATTTTGCATCAACAATGCAAAGTTTAGTAAGTTTAATGATAGTAGGAACTGGCAATGGTAAATCGTGATTAACAAGTTCTTGAGATAAGAAACTTGATAAATCATCAACTGGAACTTTTGTAAACAAGGAAGTAACATCAAAAATTAACCATGTTAAAATCATTTAAGTCAGTCAAGGAGCTTAATGTGAGAAGTCACAAATGCATTTGGAATTTCACTATTCTTTCACTGTGGTTGTTTTGCATTACATAAATACAGTGGACCCCCGGTTAACGATATTTTTTCACTCCAGAAGTATTTTCAGGTGCCAGTACTGACCGAATTTGTTCCCATAAGGAATATTGTGAAGTAGATTAGTCCATTTCAGACCCCCAAACATACACGTACAAACGCACTTACATAAATACACTTACATAATTGGTCGCATTCGGAGGTGATCGCTATGCGGGGGTCCACTGTATATGCAAAACAACCACTGTGAAAGAATAGAGAAATTCCAAGTGCTTTCGTGACTACTCACATTATCAAGGAACAATAAAAGTAATGCATCAAAGGAAGGCACATAAAGGGTCTAGTCCACACCTCACTATCACATCCCACAACAAAGAAACACCTGATGCACGACTCATAAGAAAGGTGTTGCTTTGTTGTGGGATGTGATAGTGAGGTGTGAGCTAGACCCTTTATATGCCTTCCTTTGATGCATTACTTTTATTGTTCCTTGATAATGTGAGTAGTCACGAAAGCGCTTGGAATTTCTCTATTCTTTTACAGTGGTTGTTTTGCATATTCTGAAATCACCTGTTTACTGTGATCTTATTGCATATATATATATATATATATATATATATATATATATATATATATATATATATATATATATATATATATATATATATATATATATATATATACACATATACAGTGGACCCCCGCATAACGATTACCTCCAAATGCGACCAATTATGTAAGTGTATTTATGTAAGTGCGTTTGTACATGTATGTTTGGGGGTCTGAAATGGACTAATCTACTTCACAATATTTCTTATGGGAACAAATTCGGTCAGTACTGGCACCTGAACATACTTCTGGAGTGAAAAAATATCGTTAACCGGGGGTCCACTGTATATATATATATATATATATATATATATATATATATATATATATATATATATATATATATATATATATATATATAATAAAATATATATATATATATATATATATATACATATATATATATATAATGTATATATTTTTTTTCAACAAGTCAGCCGTCTCCCACCGAGGCAGGGTGACCCAAAAAAGAAAGAAACTCCCCAAAAAGAAATACTTTCATCATCATTCAACACGTAATCACTGTTTTTGCAGAGGTGCTCAGAATACAACAGTTTAGAAGCATATACGTATAAAGATACACAACATATCCCTCCAAACTGCCAATATCCCAAATCCCTCATTTAAAGTGCAGGCATTGTACTTCCCATTTCCAGGACTCAAGTCCGGCTATATAAAAATAACCAGTTTCCCTGAATCCCTTCACTAAATATTACCCTGCTCACACTCCAACAGCTCATCATGTCCCAAATATCATTCGTCTCTATTCACTCCTATCTAACACGCTCACGCACGCTTGCTGGAAGTCCAAGCCCTTTGCCCACAAAACCTCCTTTACCACCTCCCTCCAACCTTTTCGAGGATGACCCCTACCCTGCCTTCCTTCCCCTACAGATTTATACACTCTCCATGTCATTCTACTTTGATCCATTCTCTCTAAGTGACCAAACCACCTCAACAACCCCTCTTCAACCCTCTAATACAGTGGTTCCCAAACTTTTTCAGCTTGTTACCCAATTTAACATGCCACATAAAGCATGTTACCCCTTTCACAAAATGTTGTTATTATTGATATATATGGCTAAATTAAAACACTTGAGATATTTTCTTTTATTTATTGTATTTGAACATTGTGCATCTCTAATGACTATTACTATTACCAAAGATGTCAAGAACATCAGTGGGATGGATGGAGTTGCATACTTGAAGCTAGTTTAGGAATTCTTGGCTTCATACCAGCTTATGTCTACCTCGGCTGATGCTCACAGATAAACTGACAGTGTGAAATAGAGGCAGCCTCAGGAAGTGAGTGACGCGTACTGGACAGGTCGTTCTGGGCTACTGAGCGACTTTTGTCCTGAAGCATACTTGTCAAAATACTTTTGGGTTTCCACACACTTAGCTATATATTTCTTCTTTTCTAATACTGTATATTAGTTTTTGATGTTTATTGTTATTTGGTTTAACTTTATTACTTACTTATAATAGGTTTACTTTACAACTTTATATACTAAGACAAAGTTAACAATAATCCTCATACCGGGTACCGCATTGTTTTCTTGATTTTCAGAATTCATAACTTTTTTTCTGTCACCCCTCCATTACCCCCCAAAAATGGTTAAATTACCCCCAGGGGGTAATTTACCCCCAGTTTGGCAACCACTGCTCTAATACTTTTATTAACTCCACACTTTCTCCTAATTTTCACACTCCGAATTTTCTGCATAATATTCACACCACACATTGCCCTTAGACAGGACATCTCCACTGCCTCCAACTGCCTCCTCACTGCAGCATTTACAACCCAAGCTTCACACCCATATAAGAGTGTTGGTACTACAATATTTTCATACATTCCATTCTTTGCCTCCATAGATAACATATTTTGTCTCCACATATACATCAATGCACCACTCACCTTTTTTCCTTCATCAATTCTATGATTAACCTCATCCTTCATAAATCCATCCGCTGACATGTCAACTCCCAAATATCTGAAAACATTCACTTCTTCCATACTCCTCCCCAATTTGATATCCAATTTTTCTTTAACTAAATCATTTGATACCCTCATCACCTTACTCTTTTCTATGTTCACTTTCAACTTTCTACCTTTACACACACTCCCAAACTCATCTACTAACCTTTGCAATTTTTCTTTACAATCTCCCATAAGCACAGTATCATCAGCAAAAAACAACTGTGTCTATTCCCATTTCATATTTGATTCCCCATAATTTAATCCCACCCCTCTCCTGAACACCCTAGCATTTACTTCTTTTACAACCCCATCTATAAATATATTAAACAACCATGTGTATATATATATATATATATATATATATATATATATATAGGTAGTAGGTTGGTAGACAGCAACCACCCAGGGAGGTACTACCGTCCTGCCAAGTGAGTGTAAAACAAAAGCCTGTGATTGTTTTACATGATGGTAGGATTGCTGGTGTCCTTTTTTCTGTCTCATGAACATGCAAGATTTCGGGTACGTCTTGCTACTTCTACTTACACTTAGGTCACACTACACATACATGTACAAGCGTATATATACATACCCCTCTGGGTTTTCTTCTATTTTCTTTCTAGTTCTTGTTCTTGTTTATTTCCTCTTATCTCCATGGGGAAGTGGAACAGAATTCTTCCT